GGGTGGCATGGAAGTGGGGGTTGGAGGTGGGGACAGGAACGAATTAGCCCTGAATAATAAAATCAGAAATGCTGTGACTATTCTGAGAGATGAGTCAGCAAAGTCCTCCCCAAAGACTCTTATTCTGGAAGGAGGTGACATGAATCACAAAGTGTCACACTGCAACCCCAGGGCAAGTCGTAAACGCTGCTGTGCAGAGACAAGCAGTGGCCACAGGCAGCAGAGGCTGGGGGGTCATGGACACCTTCATGGTGGTGTTACAATCTTCAAAATGCAGCTATCATCTTCAAAATACTGTTATGATTTCAAGTATTTGTCTACTTATAGTACTGCGATGTGCTCTGCTTGAAATGTACTAAATTCCACAACTGGGTTATAATGAAATCGTGTTACTCCACATTTGGACATGCTCATTTAATTTCTATAGTATTTTAAACTTATTTCAGATCCCCGGTTGTTAAAGCGTAGCATCAGAACTCAAAAGGCTTAATGGTCAATCATCCTTCCTAGTCCATGGACACTTAGCCCTTGTCTGTGCCCTCCTGCCCTGCTTACTGCCTCTCACCTGGGTGTCAGGTGTCTCTTGCACCCAAACTCCCTGCCCTCACACCTCTGGCACCCATCCCCCTGCAGTAATCAGGCTGCTGCTCCCTGCACGCTCAGGATCTGGGCTTTTGCAGAAGGAGAGTGTCTACTTCAGATCGGATCAGAAACCTGTTTCTGAGTCACAGCTCACTTTCTTTCTTTTTTTAAAAATTTTTTATTAGAGAAACACCATTGGCACAGTTGTAGACATACAAATTTTTGTGCTTGGGTTTCAGTTATACAAAGATAGAGTACCCATCCCTCCACCAGTGCCCATTCTCCACCACCACTGATCCCAGCATCCCTCCCACCCCCCATCCCCCCATCCCACCCTGCCTCTGTGGCAGGGCATTCCCTTTTGTTCTCTCTCTCCTTTTGGGTCACAGCTCACTTTCTGCTCCTGAATCACAGGCCATTTTCTGAGGCACAGTCATCCCTCCCTGGGTATTAACTCCATTATGCTCCCAGAACCCCCTTCCTGGTCCCCAATGCCCCTCAACTCAATGTAGAAGCCAGAGGCTGTGGAAACCCCCAGTGGCTGCGTCTCTGTGCCTGCCACACGCTGGAGGGGCCTGTCACTGCAGTGGGTTCAGGGTCTCCCTGGCGCCATGCATCATGATGACAAGGCATGTGGATGATGCATGGCTGTGAAAATGAAGCCATCAAAGAATAAATCCACGATCAGATTAAATTTAATTGTGGGATAAAGGCATTCTCATGTCATGCCGGTGATGAATTCACTGGGGAAGGAGTGTGTGTGGTTCAGAGAGCAGGGGGAGGAAGAGGCAAGGAATTCAAAGCCAGGACAGACAGAGGCGAGGCTGCCAGAACCTGAGGAATCAGAAAGGTCCTGGGCACAGAGTCAGACCTGGACCAATGTCCCCCCGGCACATGTGGTCTTACAACCCTGTCAGTGACTGCGATTTCAGACGAGTTTTCTGAATTCTGGATTATGGGAAATAGATGGGGCCCTGTTCATGCAGGATGGGGACACTGGCTACTCACTTCCTCTGAAGCCCTGAGCGGGGTGGGGAGGGGTCCCACAAACATTCCCCTCTGAGCTGGTCCTCAAGGTTGAAGTGTCCAAAAGCCTCAGGAGATCAGGGCATGCTTTGGGAGACAGAATTGCTCCACTTCTTTTTGTGTGGTATGGTTAATGGATGGGGTATTTTGTCAAAACTATACACTGAAAAGAGTGAAATTTACCTAAAAAGTGAAAAAAAGATTCCAGTAACGTGAACCCCGAATAGGGTTCTAGATAGAAAGAGGGAAGTGCTGGGTACAGGTGCTGGCAGAGGCCATCCATACCAATCACCCGGCCAGAACTGCGTCTCCTTGCTCACTGAGGATGGGGATGGAGGCAGGAACCCAGAAATGATGCAGATGCAGAAACCCAGAGCCTTTGCCAAATCTGGGGATGAACTTGAGCATTAACCCGACAACAAGCTTTCAGATGAATCTTAGTCCTGGGGCACCTCTGAGTGATGATTGGGGCCCAGCCCTGCATCCTGGCATGTGGGTTCCATGCTTGGTCCCAGTGGATGCCCAGACCACCTGCCTCAACCAGGTGTGTCGTTCCTATGGCCAAGTGTACCCACCCCTACCTCGCCCCCTTGGCTTGGACATACCACTTACCCAGCACTGCCTACACTTGCTTTAGGTCTACTGTGTGCCTCACTGAGGGCGTCAGGGTTCCCAGGGTGACGGGGTCCCCTGGGAGGACAAGATTCCACAGTGCAAGACCAGGAGTTCCGGGTGGCATTTGTGAAATATCAGTTAACGACACAGTTTTCTTAGTAAGGGGTGGGGGAGCTGTCACGATCTAGCCTACAGGATCAAGTGTGTTACTAAAACCAGAAATGAGCTTGCGTTTCAGTTTCCAGTCTCCAGTCCTCTTTGGCCTGAGCCCTGATGGAAGGGGCTTGGAACTGTCCACGGTGCTGCCAGGACATGCCAGAGGGGAGGAGCTAAGGATGCAGGAAGAGGCTGTGTCCCCCAGGGGGAGAACTCTCTCTCTCTCTCTCTCTCTCTCTCTCTCTCTCTCTCTCTCTCTCTCTGTCTCTCTCTCTCTCTCCCCCTCCCCCCCACCCCACTAGGACTTTGCACTAGAGGTAGAGAGGCCAGGTGGTTCTGCAGGAGCCAGCAGGGAGGGGCTGGCAGGGGAAGCCATAGCATCACTTAGCTGCTCTAGTGTGGGGACCACACACCTGGGACCCACACAACTGAGTCAGGGGGATGCTGTGGGTCTCCCATTCTAAACTGGTTCAAGCCAAAGGCTGTTGCTACTGTCTTGTAATTCCACTTTTGAGTACATTTGGGCTCACCGAAGAAACAGATTTTACTTATTTAACCCAAATGAGTAGCTAGCCAAGAGCCTGCCAGTCAAGAGTTCCCTGACGCACAGACAGTTGCCAGCAAGAGGGGCTCTCAATGGCTGGGAATCGCTTCCATCTTGTTGACAAACACATGCTGTAGACAGGAAATTACCCTCCTCGGTGCCTATTTTATCTCTGCTTAATTGCTGCGTGATAATAAATGACAACATAGAGCCCATTAATTAAGCTAACAATGTCCGTGGAACACCACTTTCTCCGTCTGGGAGTTGCCTTGTTCCAGGAGCCTGGATTCCTCCTGCCTGCCCATGTCACTGTATGAGGCAGTTTAAAGAGATGCCAGGGCACCTGAGTGTGGGGTCAGACTCCCAGTGTCAATTTGGGTTCAGAGGGAGTGGGTTTGGGAAGGAGGGGAGGAACCCAGAGAGGGGTGTGTGGCAGATAGAGAGCAAAAGTGGGGTGCGCTCTACTCAAACATGGGGGCACTCAAAAATCAACACCAGATCCATTTCCAAAAGTCAGCCAGGGGCAAGCATTGTGGCCCATGTGTAGGTGACTTTCTAGGAGGGGCAAAATGCCCAGTTGGTTAGTATTTCACAATCAGTGGGCAGGGGTGCTCACTTGGGAAAGTGCTGCCAGCAAGCAGATAACACTGGTGAAAGCAATCCTGCTATCTGCCAGGGAAGGCTGGTCCTGGCTCTAAGTGTCTGGAGTAAGTTCTCAGCACTGGGCTGAGGCCACTGCATGGGTAGCCCACCCTTTGGGCTGGGAGAATTGCCAAGGCCCCTGCAGGAGAGTAGGATGTGCCTGACTCCTGTCTGGGCAGGAAGGAAGCAGGGGGCTTCTGTAGGGAGAAGACTCCTAGTAGATTTAGGCAGGGTGTGCACTACACACCTTCATGCTGGCTGTACCCCGTCTGAACACTCCCCGCTACCATCTATGGTGCTGAGCATTTAGGGATTCTGGGGCATTTGTAGAGACTTTCAGCAGCAGCAGCACCTGGAAGTCACAAGAAATGCAAATTCTTGGGTCCCACCAACTTCAGACTGAAAAACTCTGAGGGTGGAGACCAGTAGTTGGTGCTTTCACAAGACTTCTAGAAAATTCTGATGCACACAGAAGCATGAGAACAGTGCCTTGGCTCATGCTTGTCAGACTTCTCCAGATTTTCATCTCTTCTCTTGCTGGTTGGCTCAGCTCTTACTTCTTCTCTACTGTGTTCTAAGTTTCCAAGTGTGTTACCTTACATTTTCAGTATCCAGCACTGTGAACTATGCTGCGTTTTCTGCACTTAAGAGGCAGTGTGGCTCCTACCTCCTTACTGCTCTCTGCCCTTCAAAAACAAACTACCCGGAATCAGGAACCACTGCTTTATCTTTCTCCCTCCCTCCCTCCCTCCCTCCCTCCCTCCCTCCCTCCCTCCCTCCCTCCCTCCATTCCTCCCTCCTTCCCTCCCTCCCTCCCTCCCTCCTTCCTTCCTTCCTTCCTTGCATTTCCTTTCTTATTAATTTATTCTTTATTTCTGAGTGAATTAAAGTAGTTTTATTTAGAGAAATATAAAGAGAGAGTTATGTGTAGAACACAGACTTCTCCAGAGGGGAGAGAGCCAAGAGTACACATTTCAGGTTGATATTTTTGCAAATCTCCAAGATGGAGAAAGTGCCATAAAGTAAAAGAAATGGACTACACAATTAAGATTGAGATGGGGGTAACTCCCAAGATGAAGAATGTGCCTCGTTCTTTCTTTTTTGAGTTTTGGGTCACACCTAGTATTGCTCAGAGATTACTCCCAATTCGGTTGCGTGGGGTCTGTGTCTAGTTTTAGGACTATGTGGTATCAAGGAAAGAACCCAGGACTCCTGTATACACCTCCAGCCCTTTGAGTGTGACCTCCCAGCAGAGGGACCACCTATTATCAACTACTTACACAACTGTGACTGACGCAGGCAGCATGCAGACAGAGTGAACAAGCCAATGGATGAGTGAAAACAGCCACTATGTCACCATCAATGTCAATGATCAGTTCTCTACAGAGTCCTCAAGAAGAGCTGGTTCCCTTACTGGTCAAAGATGGGCATTTACCTGGGGTCCCCAGCCATGGCACGGGTACAAGATTGCTGTGTGGTTCTCCAGGGGTCCTTGGTCCAGGCAGACATCCTTTGCCTTGTTGTTGCGAAGCTGTGGGAAGGAAAAACAACCATCACCCTCACAGAGCTCACTAGAGTTGCTGGGACACCTGATTCATGGTGGGAGGATACCAGGATATCCCTGGGAAGGTCACATGCTGCTGCTGATCCCATGGATAGCAGAAAGTGATTAAGAGTTGACAGGAGCAATTTTTCTGCTGTTCTTACTATAAAAACCATTCCAAAACCCCACCCACACCAGAGGGTCTGCTTCCCTCTGCCATTTTACCCATACCCCTCAATCCATCCACCCCTGTCCCCCACCACAGCAAAGTTAGTTAACAGACACAATCTTGAATGTTCTCACAACAGTGAAAATAAATGGTAATGATATGACACGACGGGATTATAGTGCTCACCATGAACGTAACCATCTTGCAAAAACAAATTAGTGCTTTGGACACTATAAATTTGATGTTATAAGTTAACTATACTTCAATAAAACTTCATGGAAAAAGCACAAGCTTGGGGGAAATATCCTACAAAGATGGTGGTGGTAGGGGGTCATTTATTTATTTATTTTTTTGCTTTTTGGGTCACAACCAGCAATGCTCAGGGTTTACTCCTGGCTTTGCACTCAGGAATCACCCCTGGCAGTGCTCGGGGGATAATATGGGATGCTGGGAATCAAACCCGGGTCAGCCACGTGCAAGGCAAACGCCCTACCCACTGTGCTATTGCTCCAGCCCCAGGTAGGGGGTCTTTTAATCCCAAGAGACCACAGATTTGGGGACGGGGTGAGAGCAGTGTTACCCCTACATACACGAGTAGTTCAAAACATTACACTATTGAAAACCATCACAAAGCCCACTTCCACAACCTGAGTTTACTGTGAATGCATTAGGAGATTCCTTGCTGCCAATACTCCCAATAGTGCCAATGAGAACTTGCACAGGAAAATCTAAACAACTTCTGAGTCAAAGTCATTCAGCAGAATTCAATTTTGAATGATGAGATTTGAGTAATAACTTTCCAAGTATGTATGTATTTTTGCTTTTTGGGTCATACCTGGCGATGCACAGGGGTTAATCCTGGCTCTGCACTGAGGAATTACTCCTGGCGGTTCTCAGGGAACCATATGGGATGCTGAAAATTGAACCCGGGTCGGTCACGTGCAAGGCAAATGCCCTACCTGCTGTGCTATCACTCCAGCCCCTTTCCAACATATTTTGCTTGATTCCTTCTTATGTCTACATGAGTAATTAAGTAAGTAAAGTAAAGTAAAGGCCCTCCCGTTGATCATCAATTTGCTCAAGCGGGCCCAGTAACGTCTCCATTGGAGACTTTGTTGTTACTGTGTCTGGCATATCGAATACATCACGGGGAGCTTGCCAGTCTACATGAGTAGCGTGATAAAATACAATTCCATGACACATAATGAAGTTTAAAAATAAATATAAAATTAAAACTATTATATGTGATTGAAATTGTAAGACTATTCCTTTGAGAGGAGAAGAACAATAACGTTTTTATAAACTTAGAGTTAATAGTAAATTGGAATGCTTTATATGCAGCAATTAGTTCCTGTTTTGAGAATTATGAGTTTATTTTCCCATTGGGACTATGAGCAGTTTTGTTATACATTTTTAAGAGTGTTTTATATATTAAGGACAATTATTAATGGCGTTATGACATATTTGTTCCATATAACGATTTTAGAATGTAAGGCTTTAAAATGTTCTTTAAAATGTTTATGCAATCAAAACTGAGTCGCTTACCACATATATATGGAGGGTCTGGTAAGTACCCAGAACTGTGCTCTGTGTAGTAAGCATGAACTCAGCACTGTCCCTGCCAGTGGAGGCCACAGTCTGGAGAGAGACAGACACCAAAGAGCCGGTTCAGGTCTGAACTAAGCAGGACAGTGAGAAGAAAGGCTCACTGTTCTGCGTGGCCAAGGTTATCAGTACTGGGAGGCGACTCCCGACTTACATGTCACACAGGAGAGGTGGAAGTGAGGCTGCAATGTTCTGTTTTTCACCCAGGTGGTGATTGCAGGGGTTGGCGCTTTACATCATGGTGCTGCACGTGTGTGTTGTAAAGCATGCTGTTAGTGTGCTGTGTCCCCCAGAAGTAATGATTCTAAAACCACTGTGTCCCGGGCTCAGGGCAGCTCAGGCCACAGCCCCCTGAGTATCCATTTCTGAGTACCAAAGCTGGTGGCCCAATGCTTCTTTGCACTCAGGCTCTTTCCCATGTGGAAAAGCAACATGTCATACATATAAGTCAGAACATATGGTCTCCACATGCTCTCCTTCCAAGAGGATTTGCAGTATAATGGGAAATATGCTCACCAAACTGAATCCAATTACAAATGCTTTCTTGGGCTTGGGGAGATAGCTCAAAGGGCTGGAGTGAGCAGCAGAGGTGGGTGGGCTGGAGTGCATGCTTCACACGTGTGGGCTGGACGGTGTGCCTTACATGGGTGGGCTGGAGTGTGTGCTTTACATGTGTGGCCCAGAGTGCACAACTTACATGGATAGGTTCAAGTACATGCCTTATATCTGTGAGCTGAAGTGTGGGCCTTATATGGGGGAGCTAAAATGAAGAGCTGACACGCATAGATTGGAGTGTCTGACTTCCATGGTGGGCTGGGGTGTGGGCCTTACATGGGAGGGATAGTGTAGGCCTAACATGGACCAGCTAAATGCATGTATTACATGGGTGGGCTGAAGTGCATGCCTTACATGGGTGGGCTGGAGTGTGAGCCTCACATGGGCAGCCTTGGTGACTCCTGAGCAGTGCAAGGCATTGCTGGGCCCTCCTGTCAGGCCCACATTGCTTGGCTGAGGATGGGAAGGAGTGGTTCATGGGTTCCCATACAATGCTGTGGAGACCCTTCCCATTTTTAAAGCAGATATCATTGAAGTAGAGCATGATACAATTTGGGCTTATAATCCTGATACTCTTAAAGGCATGTGACAGGAGGAAAGGTCAAGATGAAGGCTTTTCGGTCTCTGTGTGAATACTTGGTGACAGTGTTTCTGAGGGGAGTGATACTGCACCCCGTGGAACAAACCTCAGACCCCACTGGGGGATGTGTTCTGTTTGTTCATTTAAAGAAGGGAGATTTCCAGGGGGAGTTAAGTAATTGTTTTTCTGAAATAGGGGGTGGGGGAAGCAGGAAAAATAAGTTTGTGAACCTATTTACTAGACCCTCATGTGGGAAATGTTTGTTTTGAAAGCATCTACATTTGGAAAATGCAGACAGTACCATAATATAAGGGAGAATTAAAAATACAGTTTATATAAGTAGAAAGATCTTAAAAATCCTAAAGGCAAGCAAACCAACTAAAAACTGAGAAAAGACAAGAGCAAAACCCCCAGAATCAAACAAACACACACACACACACACACACACACACACACACACACACACACATATATACCCCCCCCCCCCCCCCACACACACACACAAATCCCAGAAGATCTAAATTGCCATGTGGTAGGTATTTGCTCTGCTTCTTCCCCTGTCCTTGGCTCCAGGGACTGGGCCTGGTGAAAAGAACCAGAAGGCTGAGTGTTGAAAAGAATGTTGTAGGGCCTTTGAATCGGTCAATCCTGGTTCAATTCCCAGCTCTGGGTACAGTCCTCTGAGTACTGCCAGGACACACAGAGCCAAAATAGACCCTGAGTATCGCCAGATGTGGCCCCAAACCTCAAAATTAAAAAATAGAACAGAGAAAGCTGTTCAACCTAGAGGACTGTCCATGGCCCCAAAGCTGAATGCACATTCTTCTCCTGTAGACATGAGCCATTCTCTAGTCACATGCAGAAGACAGGAAGAACTCAAATGCTTGGGAGCTAAACAATAAAAGCTGTATTAAGGGGGAGGTTCATAGCAACACATATTGATCAGGATACAAGAGCGTGCATGTACTAATAAACAACCTAACCTCATACCTCAGTGAATAAAAAGAGCCCAAGGAAAGTAAATGGAGGGACATAGTAAAATTTATAGTGGAAATTAACAACATGGAAACCAAAAATTCAGTACCAAAAGATCAATAAAACCAAGAGCTAGAGTTTTAAAAAAGAATTATTAATATTTACATACCCTTAGCTAGTCTCAGAGAAATAAAGAGAAACTATTGATAAATTGGATCAGAAATTAAAGGGGAAGATTCATGACATAAACATCCCAAACACAAGAGATTATTGTGAACAAATCTACGCTGCTAAATTAGAGAATCCAGAAGAAATAGGTGAATTTCTAAAGGCCAGAGAGATGGCTCTAAGGGTTGGAGCACTTGCTTTGCATGTTGAAGCCCTGGGTTCCATATCTGACTCTGCATGATTCCCTGAGCACTGTTGATAAGGACTCTGACCATAGAGTCAGGAGTAGTCCCTTAGTTCTGCTAGGTTTTGTCCACCCCTTAAAAAGGGAAAAAAAGTAGAAAAACATAAATTTTTGGACTAATAAAACTTCTAAAACTGAACCAGCAGGAAATAGACAATTTAAATAGACCAGTTTCAATTAAGGAAGTTGAGAAAGTAATATAAAATTTCCCCAAGAACAAAAGTCAGAGGACCAGAAAGACTCAATAGTGAATGCTACAAAACCTTCATAGGAGATCTACAACCCATCCTTTTCAAGATCGTCCATAAAGTAGAATAAACAGGAATCCTTCCAGACAGATTTTAAGAGCCCAACATTACCTTTACATCAAAAGCAAATAGTGATATTAGTACATAAGAAAACTTCAGACCAATATACCTGATGAACATAGCAAAATGTAAAATCCTACAAATTGAATACAACAATACATTAAAATGTTCAAACATTCTAATAATGTGGGATTTGTTCCAGGGTTGCAAGAATGGTTTGATATAAGCAAATAATTTGATATGATACTCCACATTAAGACTGTCACTGTCACTGTCCTCCCATTGTTTATCGATTTGCTCGAGCAGGCCCAGTAACGTCTCCATTTTGAGACCCGTCGTTACTGTCTTTGGCATATTGAATATGGGTAGCTTGCCAGGCTTTGC